CCCTCTCTGCAGGGCTGCTCTCCAGCCTCCTCCAGATATTACGCATCACCAGCGCCATGATCCACACAAACAGGACAGTCTGCTAGAACATGGTGTCCAAGGTTTGTCTTTGCTCTACACATTTAACTAACTCCACAGAACCTAAAGTGTGATCTCACTAAACCTACAAGCAAGCAGTCATACTTAAAGCCACATCTGTTGGCTGCAGCTCCACGGCGGTGCAATCCTCCATTTGAGCATATTTAGGCTGTCTGGGGATACACCCTATGGCTATCTGTCAGATGTTAAGCATCATTTACTTGCTTCTCAGGAATCTGTGATAGAAAGGCTCATCTGTCCTGAACATACAGAGGAAAGGTGGGTAAGTGCAAGGAGGTCTCTGGCCAACATTGAAGCGATGTCACCTGCACCCTCAGGCACCAGCAAAGGCAGCAAATTTGTAGCTTAAGCAAAGAAAGAAGCTGAGCTCTCCACCAGATCCTCAGCTGTCGTAGGTTTAGAGCGCAGAGAGCTGACAAAATTGGCTCTGTATGACAGAGAAAGCACCAACTAAAAGCCTCACTTATGCCTGTACCGAAAGCCTTCCAACAACACTGCTCCTGTAACCAAGGGGTAAAGGCTCACATGTTTACTTCTCTAAGGCTTATGCATGATCCCAGTCTATAAAAAGACAGACAAAGTGTTTTCAAAGCAATAGGATTTGCTATCAAGGTTTTCTCAGAAACAAAAATATTCCAAATAGAAAGCAAATATTTAGCAAGCATTCAAAGAAATTCAGCTGCTTCTGCATAAAACTAAAGCAGCTTGGAGATGTGCAACTGGAGATGCTGATTCACTAAGAGACTAAAGTCAATCTCAGCTCTACTGACCCATGGGGCACACCTAAAAGAATGCTTTTCACACTCAAGTTAGCACATCCCTCACATACAAGACCTCTCTGCTTGCTGTGGGCATGTTTCTCCACAGGTAATGAAGACGCAGAAGAACAAAGACAACTCTATTCTGCATGACAGACACACAGATTGAAAACCTGAGTCCAAATCCAGGATTTTTATCTTTCTGTTGAATTTATGACCACAGACAACCCCTCTGAGTTTCTCAGTTTTCAAAGCTAAGGATAAGTCTTTAGCTCTGGTCCTTGAAAACATTCATGAGCTCCTGGCCTCAAATTTTAGGTTTAAAAAAAATTATTAAAAAAATAAAATAAAATCAGAGACATATTTGCAGGAAACTGCAGGAAGCCAACAAAGCCAGATCTCCTGCATGCCCCTTTGCCCCTAAGGAGATCCACTGAACTCAACAGGACCAGGCACATGCAGGCAGAGGGATTATCAAAAGAAAGTTTAGCACCTGCCTGCAAAGATACACAACCAGTCAGGGACAGATTTGTGGGACGAGCGATCTGGCACCACAAAAACTGCAAACAACTGCTGCTCTGATTATTTGCACCCAAGGGCAGGGTTGAACGGCAACTTCTTCGCAATGGTTTCTGTACCATACAAAATTTCATGGCCTTAACAGTTGAGGCTGCAACTGCTGCTTCCTATGGCTGTATTATATCAAAATGCAATAGGTAATCAGGAAAACCGTGTTGGTGTGTAACTGTGTGCGCTGAGCACGCTGGCAGAGAATTCAATGGTAGTCTGGGCTGAGAGACTTCAAGTCAGGAAAACCAACGCTTCAAATATCATTTGGGGAGGGGTAAGTTAAACATGCAGTCATCTGCCTTTTTGTAAGTGCTTTTCAAATCAGAGCTGGGCAGGTCAGCTCCTGGCAAGTGCCCACAGAAGGGACAAAGCCTGTAAGTTCTGCTTCTTTTCTCAAACTGCAGCATTTAGGAGTAAAATCCTTTTGAACCAAAACACATTTCTTGTGCTCTTTGAGCATCAATGAGAAGGAAGCAAGTTCCACACAGCTATGGAAAAAAAACAGACTTTTTTTCTTCCTGAATTGCTTAACTTTCCATGGAGAGGTGCCATCTTCACAAGCACATCATTTTGAAGCTTGGATCCTCTACCGTCAAACCATCAGTGTTCCTCAGCTTGAGCTGAGGACAAGGGCGAGAGCTGGAACAAGCACTTGTCCTCCGGGGCTAGCTGACAAGAAGGAACCTGTCACACACATTCACCAGAGAGCTTAGAGAAACTCCAAGATAAAAAACATGCTCATATTCCAAATCCCACTGACTTGCAAATAAGCTCCTAAGCACTTACATAATCTTGTGCTAAAAAGTGTTGGCTGCTGCAGTCAGAAATGTGCACACAGGAAAGACTTTTAAGTAGTACTGCAAAGTACATCGAAATAGCTACCAACTGCACTAGAAAATTTTGCCAAATCAGAAAAGGTTACATGTGAACTCGTGCTTCACATGAAGCACACATTGCAATAGACCTTGGAAGCCAAAGAAACACTGACGCTTAGGGCAAAGAAAGATTAACAATAATAAAAACTACAATTTTCAAGTTGGAGACCAATTTGAAAATGGCTTAGGTCAGAACAGGTAATTACCCAGTGATTATTTTTGGCTTTGAATACTGAACCTTTAAAGACACCAACAGTGCTGGCATTAGAAACAATAAGATAACCCCAGGTTCTGCCATGAAAACTAAGGGCTCTTGTGCTCAGCACCACTCCCACCACCAGGCAGATATTCAACAGCAGAAAGCACTACACACTGTTACCACCACTGAGTTCAGCAGAGCTCATCAGCACCCAGCACCACTGACAGGCCCAGGCTTTCAGGTGTGCCTAGAAATAGAACTGGAAGATTAAGAGCACAAAACAAACGACAAACTCAGTTCTGGTTACCTGGTGTGTCAGACAACGGGAGAGGAATGAAAGGATCAGGCACAGTCAGAAGTGGAGGGCTAGTGTCCAAACTCAGAATGTCTTTTGTTTTTTCAGCTGGTAACCAGGAAGAGAAAAGGCAGAGTGAAACAGAGAAGAGAGAAAAGCAGAAAGCATCGAGCAAAATCTCAGCACAGGCACAGCTCAATATTACAGAGTCCAAGCTACAGCCTGACAAGAACAACACATACATGCACCCTCAGAACAAGTTCATGTTGCTAGTGACAAGAAAAAAAAACAAAACAGCTGTTACCACATAGCTCTCCAACACAATTAACCCACAGATCTCAAAACATTCCTTGAAAGGGAAGTACTATTATCTCGCTTTACAGCGGCACAAAAGGTGAAATCCCTTAACAAAGGACACAGAGCAGGCCAGCCCCCATGCTCGGCCTCTTTGAAAGAAAAGATACAGCATTTTGCATCAGACAGGCTCATATCTACGAGGAAAGAAAAAGAAAAGGGCTAGAAGTGCCTAGCCCGGTGCCAACTCCAAGAAAATTTCCAAGACATTTTCCTATGCCAAACCACAGGACAGAGGAGTGAAGGAGAACATTTTAAAGACAACTACTAGAACTGAACATGCTACAACATCCAGAAAGTTCTGAACATGCAGATGCTTCTCAGGCTTTGCAGAAGGTATGTTACAGCTGACCCTGGAGCTGCTGCTACTCAACATCACTCTGCAAAGGCTGATGGAACATCATAAATTGTTCAACAGGGCACTGAACAGCCGGACAAACTCAGAAAGCAACCCGCTAGAGCACTCCTGCGTCATGGACTTCAACTCCTTAATTCTCAGGTAAGAGCCAACAATACCAAGCTTAGTTATAAGCTCCTCTAAATCTCTGTTTATAAATAGAAATAAGCGTAAATGGATTTGTCACTTCTTGCCCCACAAAGGATTCTTCAGTCTCTTCCCAGGATTCCTCTCATCAAGGGTTGGTGTGCTTCCATGGGGAAGCATCAAACAGTTGCATTTGTCACTCACTGGTAACAAGTTGCACAAGATGGCACAAGACAGGGGAGAGGATCACTTGGCATTTTGGGGTCCTGGAAGCACTTCTCCAATATTGTGCTTGGCAGGACTTTCCTGCATTTAGTGAGAACTGATGATAAACAACTAGAAACAAGTAGCAGCACTCACCAAGGGGTTTTTTTGGCACAGGAGGGTCTGCTCATGGCAAAACCTTGGTATCCAAGTACTAAAGGAGGCACCAGACAAGGTCACACACGCAGAGTTCTCTGCAGAAAATCTCTTCAGACCAGCCAGGGACTCCTGTCCTCTGTACCCAGACAGCACAGCCAGTGCAAAACTTCTTGCCTTCACCATTTAACATGTCAATTATGAGACTAACTGTGCTCCCCGCTGAGGATTTTCCCTGCTCGCTCCTGTCTCTGCTGTTCTCATTCTGCAGCAGACATTATTATCCTCCCTTTCTTCGCACAGCTTAACAATGGCAGGCAAGGAATATCCTCCACTGTGTCTGACCCACATCTCTGAATCCAATTCCCTTATTGCACACACCATATTTTACTTCCAATTATGAGCTGCATAGAACTTCAACGTGTTAAGAAGCTTTCTTGCAAACTTAAGGCTTAGGTTTTTTTTCCTCACAAAAAGCCTCACCTCTGTCTACAGGCAGTGCCTCCTGTCTCTGCTACCCAACTGTGACAAGTACACATGCCATTCCCACCTTCCCTTCTTCACTGAAGGCTGACCCCATCCTACAGTTCTCAGTGCCAAGGCCCAGCTCAATTTTTATCAGTTTTACCTTCCTTTCAAAGAGGCTATGACAGAGTTGCCATTTTTCTACAGTGCTGTCCAGGGCATTGCCCTGTAGGACATATTCACAAACTCACCTGATCCAGCAGAGAAGGAAGAGCCACCAAATGCATCTGCCTGGGTTGCAGATGAAGCAGGCTGGAAACCTAGAATCAAGTTCTCTGTGGAACTGCCCATCTTTTCTGGAGCTTTCCCTGAAATGCCAGACACAGATTTAGGGGCAAAATTTCCATTCTGAAGGTAGGTTGCTTACCTAGATTTTTTTAGGATGCTATTTCAGTACGTGACTTAAGCCCCTTCCTGCAAATCATAACTTACAGATGAAGCAGAGTTTAAACTGTAACTTCTACAACCAACTGATCAAGGCTACTTTAAAAGCTGTTAGTATCTCTCCCTTTGAGGAAAATGCTCATTTAATCGCAATTGCTCAGCAAAGAGGGCACAAACAGAGAAGGGATATTGGAAGGATTTAGCTCATACAGGCACAGAGGATCGTAATATGGAAGCACCCAGCAGCATCTGACCAAAAGCATCATCATTCCACGCCATCTTGTGTTTTGAGAGCAGGCTGGTATTAAACAATCTCCATGAACCTACCGTCACCTAGTTTAGCAAAGTCCTTGTTCAGCAGCTCCTCAGCTGTGAGTTTGGAGAAGTTATCATCATCAAATGGATTCCACGTGGAGACATCGGGTGGGTTATAGACATTCTGCTGTGAGGTCCTTGGGGAACCCGAGGGTGTGGTGGAAGCAGATCTGGATGTGATCATCCCAATCAAACAACAGTCATTAATAACCCATCTGAAATCCTGTGGCCAGCACTATGAGCTGGTCCAAGCTACTTAAAACACTCAGCATAAGTTATTGTACTTGCATACCCAGAAAGCTGGGACCCGTTAGCCTTATCTGCTCATAATCTGGTTGAGCATCCTGGTGTCAGGGATTAAAACAAGCATCGTAAGCACCATATTTGAAACAATTTTCTGCAATGCCCACGTGGAGGCTTCCTGCCTGTAGACACTGTAAAAGTGAGTTAGCAAGTACTCCTAGGGAAGCGCTGATGCTAAGCGGCAAGTGTGGAGTAGCACCAAGGCTACTGGTGGAACAGCTGAAATGACACTAGCTTCTGTAACCCAGAGGAAGGCCCTGTTCGCTTGGCTTTTGGGGAGCATGGAGGAATTCTGCCCTTCAAGATTTTCAGCAACTTTCTGCCAAGCCCTAAGCTGTGGCCTTGGGAAGGGAAAGACTCATTCAGACCACAGAGTGTGCTGCCTACCTTCCTCTCAGAGTTTTGCCTAGGAAATCTCTGAAGAGCCTCATCTACCCCCTCCCTCCATACCCGTTGACGCCAAGTGAGCAGCCACCTACTTAGACTTGTTGAGACTGGCTTCAGCAGCAGCTGCCTGGAGGAGCTGGGTAGATTTGCTGGCTGGGACCCCAAAAACAGCACTGTGGGTCACGTCACTCAGAATCCTCCTGTGTCCTGCACGCTGTGTCTTGGGGGAGGACGGAGGGGTGAGAGAGCCCAGCTTCTGCCCTTGCACTGCTGTGGGGGGTGTAGTTTGAGGTTTTTGCTGTTGCCTCATCTGTGGCTGCACCTAAGAGAGAAAATAAAATGGTATGTCCTCGTTTGTGAATGAATGATAGACGTGATGAAAAAATGACTATATGCTGGAGGATCTGACCTTCAAGTCATGGACTGGGGATCATCTGGAGGGAAAAAAAACCGAGGGAATTTGCTGATTTATAGTACCTCACGATTAGTACAAATCCATAAGCAGAGACTTTCTCCCCTTTCTGTGTTGCAGCTCTGGAGGCAAAGCCAGCTGGTCTCAGAAACTTATTGTTATTAAAAGCCAGCTGGTCTCAGAAACTTGCTCACAGGTAGAGGCCGAGATCCAGGGCAGAGGTAAAAACAGAAATCAGATCATGTTGTGCAGGAATCTTGTCATACAGACACATGGAGTGCGGGTGGGGCGAAGAGCAGCACTTTTTCCAGTAGATAACGTGTGACTGGGGTCAAATCCCTAAAGGAGTACAGGTCTGCAGAAATCTTGTGCAAGAAGCTTTTTTCTCTTGGGGGAAAAAGAAAAGCACAAGGACCACAGGAGCAACATTTGTCATTAGAATCTGGAGGAGAAAAACAGGCACGTTTAGGTGTAAGCCAAGATAGCCCAGCTACAAACCCTTTGGAAACTTCAAGGAGTTTCCTCAAACTGATATTTTTCCATTACCTCAGTCTTGTGTTAAACTCACAAACCCATAATTACTTGAAATACTGTTTTGTAGTGATAAACAACAGCATCACTTACGATTATGTGATTTCTCAAAAATCTGTTAGTGAGATATCATGATTGGATTTAAAGTAGGAAGATCAGGATGCAAAAGGCTGAAAGCTGTGCATGTCACCTCCACTGCCTGGGCACTAGCTCCCTGATCCCCACCCTGTATCATCCCAGGCCATTTCTGACCAACGAAGACAGATGAAAGACTTAGAAAGACCTAAGAGGACAATAAGAAAAGAGCTACATCCCCAGTGTGCTGCTTAACTACAGTGGTGCACAGTAAACAAGTGGTTAGTTGCCTTGCTCTTCATCTGGCATTTTCAGGCCATCTAATTCACTGCAGCTGAGAAGCAAACTGACCTGACTGCTTCTGATGCACCCACCTTACATCTCACTATATAGGTCACTGCAGAACAGTACATTTGGTGCTGAGAAATAAAAGGGGAGTACCGAAATCTCCACAGAAATGAATGCAGAGCTGAAGTCTTGCAACGTGAAAAGGTTCTGATGGGTCCTGGCTTGATAACTTCTGCTCAGAGACTGTGCTCTGCAGAGACCACATCTCACTATCATTTTTTAAATAAGCCAGACACTGGTTTTCCTCTCCTGACTGCTGCAGGAGTGAAAAAGTGTCCAGATGCATCCACTCTTATCAGCCTTTCAGGGGGATAAGGCTAATTTTCAATCCAGCTGATTTAATAAAATTAAGACTGTTTTTGTGCTACTGAATCACAGCAAAGCTCTTCAGAGATGCACTTCAATACTATGTTTCAGGCATTTCTCCTGAACAGGGAGAAGAGGGTAATGATGGGCCTCATCCAAAACCTGTCTCGATGTACTGAAAAATCTCCCACTAATTTCAATAAACTGACTCGCCCCAGGTCATTCAGCAAAATGGTAACAAGACCAGGAACACAACAGCTCCAAGCTCATCACCTATGCTAACAGCCAGCTTAGTGCTGAAAAATAATATAAAACCAAAGGGGGTGAAAATGACAGAGCCTTGAGATGCATCAGAGAGTAAAGCAAACAATGCTTCCCCAGCATCACCCAGGTCACTGGCTTATGGATTTTATTAGTTAAATTAATTCCTGATGTCACTTCAAAGGAAGCACGCTCAAGAGATGAATTAGGTCCTGAATGACCAACAACTTATGAGTGAGCAAGCACAAACTGACCCTTAGCTGGACTCAAACATTGTGTGCCTGAAGTGGTTTGTTATCAGATACTATTTGCTTTGCACACATGCAACCTTGTACAGTAAAATAATGGGCAGCTTCCTCTTGCCTGCTGACTTGCATGCTTTCTTTCCAACACACAACTTGAGTAAGGGATATCCCTTTGCGCTTCCAAAACCAAGCAAGAGTGGATGGGATTGTGTTGGCACTTTAAGAGCCCAAGCTGCAAGCGGCTTCGGCCTTGGGCAATTAAGCCCTGATTTTGAGTGAGAAAATACAAGAGAACGTGATTCATGAGAAAGTACATGATTCGCAAGAAAAACACGATAAGAAAACTTCTTATTTTAACTATCCAGAAGTAAAAAGAATGCCTCATGAGCAGGTGGATTTATCCAATCAAGTATTGTAACCAGGCGTGTGAACAGTAGCTTTTAGCCAATGCAGAGTTGTGTGTGTGTGTGTGTGTGTGTGTGTGTGTGTTAGCAGCTTAAGAGTATATAAGTGATCATGTAACCAATACTAAAGGTCTCCAGTAGAATTCACATTGAATCGTGTGTGGAGTCCATGAATATCCCTCTCGGCAGGATTGCACAGGAATGAAAGTAAAAGACACAGCTTCCTCCCATATATACTGCAGAGACACTCTGGCAACGGGGATCCTGCCCTCTGGCACAGCTCCTCTGCCTTTAACACTGCGGACAGTTGGCTATTTCCCTGTTGCAGCCATCCAGCCAGATTTTCCATTAAGTAAAGAGCATTTATTTTGGACGCACGTTCAGATGATTAGTAAAGTGGATGATTTTTTTGGTTTTGTTTTTGTTACAGCACTTTGAAGTCTCCTTTCCATAACATTAACAAAAAAAAAGTTATGCCAATGCCAGAAACAACTGGGAAGGCTGCTTGCACCTTCCTCTGCATCAGAGCCCTGAATAAGAGACTTAAGTTTTCCAAACAAGCAGCAACCGAAAGCAGTCCTGTTGCCTAGTACCCATTCTGATGCATTAAGTGCAAATACTTTTTAAAATAGTTTATTGCCTATCTTCTAAGGTAATATGACATAGGAGAGATAGAGAGAATCACAGAATCATAATGGTTGGACAAGTCCTTTAAGATCACCGAGTCCAACCATAAACCCAACGCTACCAATTCCACCACTAAACCATGTCCCTGAGCACCTCATCTACCTGTCTTTTAAATCTCTCCAGGGAAGGTGACTCCACCACCTCCCTGGGCAGCCTGTTCCAACACTTGACTACCCTTTCTGGAAGAAGTTTTTCCTCAGATCCAATCTAAACCTGCCCTAGCACAACCTGAGGCCACTTCCTCTTGTTCTATTGCTTGTTACCTGGGAGACCGACACCCACCACTCTATACACTCCTTTTGGGTAGTTGCAGAGAGCAAGGAGGTCTCCATTAAGCAGCTATTTACACCTTCTCATCTGCTTTCTACTCATCTTCTTTCTACAGACCCAGAGCACAACTCCAGAGTCCAGCATCCCATTGGAAAGAGCAGTTCAAACAACTGCACGTGTCTCTGAGACAGCAAGGTTAGTGCTGACATCTGGGACTCGGTAATAAGGCACCAGGGGCCAGCAGGCCCTAGAGCACCCATTACCTGGCTCTGCAGGTCTGGAAAGCCAGCTGTCCTGCCAGGATGTTCCTGGCATAAAGGATCTGACAAGGGAGCACATGCCCGGATTCCAAATCCCACCTCTCCATTCCTTCCCATAAGGCTCTTACCCCTTGCTCCTGTGGCTGCTGCGCTGGCTGGGACGCACTTTGCTGGGCCTGGGACTGCGGCGGCGCTGGGCCTTGTTGCTTTTGTTGAACTGCTGCTGCTGCTGCTGTCTTCTGCTGCATTGCTGCCTGCTGGGCCATCATCTGCTGCTGCTGCTGCTGTTGCTGCTGCTGGTAGTAGTTCTGCATCAGCTGCTGCTGTGCTGGCGCTCCTTGCTGCATCACTGGGAACTGGGAAACAACCAGTTGTTGAGCCACTTGTGCAGCTGGGAACTGGGGTACCACCACAAGAACTCAGGGCCAGCCATGGGAACGGTTACAGCCACTGCAAGTGGCAAAGCAGTAACAGGCTGCCATGGCTTGGAGACCATCTGCAAAGGAGCTGTGGGAAATGGCCTTCTGGTCTAACATGAGATCCTGCCCGTACAGGGCTCCCACAGCACAGACTGTCCTGTGGTCCCAAACTCCTTTCTCCATTTTTATCAGTTCTAAACCTTTCCTCGGCATAGGATGATTCACTGGCCCTTTGCTTCTGCTGTTAGATATGCTTCAGCAGAGATCTGTGCTGCTATAAACACCTCAGTTAAGCACACAAGGCTGTCATCTAGACACATCCCGTCTAACACATTATGTGTTCACAGGCGTTCTTATCACCACAGTCTACCACAAAACCAGATCTGAATCTGACCATTAAGAAGGCATGCCAGACTTCTTGTACCACAAAGAGAGCAGAAGACAAATTGTACCCTTCTGCTCATCAGCTGAATACTGACCTCAAGACCCTGAGACACTCAGAGCTGTAAAATCTTAACCAGCACTGCTTATTTTATGTTTGCACGTGACTATCAAGGCTTTTCACATTGGCAGTTAAAAATGCCATCCCTGCACAGCAAAAAATCTTGCTAGAGAACTGAAGGTATATTGGAAAATGTCTAAAAACTGCACCTATCCCCCCAAAAAACAGCAGACTTGCCCTAAATTTAAGGATACGGCTTTGCAGGCCTCTAGCACAGGAAGCATGCAACAAACACAGCCATGCACACCTACCTGCTGAGCTTGCATCATCTGCTGCTGCTGGTAATATGCAGCCTGTTGCTGTTGCTGCTGCTGTTGCAGAAGCTGCTGCTTCAAGAAAAGCTGCTGTTGATGCTGAGGTGTGGCTTGTGGCTGAGTAGAAGGGATCTGGGGCTGCACCTGCGAGGTTTGCTGCGGAGCTGGTGCCTGCTTGGCTTGGGGCTGTGCTGGAGTCTGCTGAGGTGCTGCTTTTTGCTGGGGGACACTTGCAGGGAGCGAAGGCTGACCACTGCCCAGGGCAGGAGGGGCTGCAACTGGTAGGGAAAAAGAAAAAAAACAAAACCAAAAAAACCCCCACAAAACAAAACAAAAACAGCACAAAAGATCCATTAGATCAAGATGCACCACTGTCCGGTGGTACACAGTGCCCGGCAGGAAGGCACCGCACAAAGAACATTGTTTCACCTTGGGGCTGAATGGCTGCTTGAGCCGTCGGTCTCTTCCTAGGCGTCAGGGCTGGCTGAATGGGTAAAATTCCAGGGTTGGGTTGTGTCTGTCCTGCTTTAGGTCGCTGGCGGGGTGCTATGGAAGTTTCTGTTGTAGGGATGGGATCTGTCAACCTACAAATTAAGGTAAGGAATAAAAGGAAGAGCAGTAAGAGCACAGTCTTTGTTAGCCTGGTAGTTGGTGCACGCAATGCACATCATGGGTCTAAACTCATCCATACTTCAGCAGTATGTGACCAATAAAGATGAAACACTCGTGGGCATCCAGGCACACGCATCAACCCGTTCCAGAAAACTGCAAGCACCGTAAAACTTAATGGATGCATTCACAACAATTAATCCAACACTGTTATTTTAACTTTTTTGCCAATTGGGGCATCTTCTCCTGCTGGACAGCTGGAACTTGTCATAATCACTCAACTCATTCAAATATTTGCTATAACATATTGTTTAAATCCACTTATGAATTCTGGATGAGCAGATGAAGGACATAACAAATTAGCTTAAGAGCAGCTGATACCTTTGGGCAGAATTGTCTAAAGTGCCATCTTTACCAGTACCTTAACTTTAGTACATCAACCCCAGAATCGGGTCATTTGACCTCTTCTGATCTCTGCTCAGTATCTGCTGAGCTCCAAAAAACGCACAGAGCCAAAAAGCCAGACACCATCTTGCCTTTCTGTGGATACATTTGCTTATTAGATATCAAGTTGTTCTACTAATGTGAGAGTAACTGCACTCAATTATAAAAACAAACAAAGCAGACTCTTGGGACTGACAGACAGGAGGAGAGATGTCCTATTTCAGAGTCTGAAGGAAACTGCTGGTTTTGAAGTGCCCATTGCTGTACTGCTCACTTTACAGTAAATTAAGGTGCAAGTTTTGTCCAGTAGAATTTACAAGTCCCCATTACAGTACCACAAGCAGAGCAAGCAGCAGCAGGAGAGGAGAAAAACCACAGCAATACACAGTGATTTCCCCACTACTTGGGTTCTTTAGATGGAGACTGCTTGGGCTTTTATGTTCCCCCCTCAAGAAGAAATTACAGGACTCTTGCAGAAATCACAGCAACTGCATACAGTAATTACTGGGTCAGGTTATCATCTGCCAAGGGTCAAACAAACAGCAATAGTCCCCAGTGCGGTTTCTCAGTTCTTTGGGCCGATTCCAGGCCCACTGCAGTCTTTCTCCTGACTTTGCTCTCAGGTACTCTGGGTACTGCCTCCGGAGGGATGACACAGTTGATTCATCTAAGTGCATGAACTTCGAGTGCTGCTGTCAAGCAATGTCTTCAGAAGAAAAAGCCTAGCTGTTGAGTCATGCTGAGTATCGCCCAAGCCCCACCCCACTCCCCCACACAGAAAAATTTCCCCTAATATATGCATTTTTTGCTTTTCAGATCAATGGTTATTTATGTTGTTGAAGCAGAAGCCTCGAGATTGCAGTGTTTGTCTCCACACGTAGATGAAAGCCTAAAAGGAAGCAGCTCAATATACCAAGCATCTCTTAATAAACAGCAGAAGGACAACACACAATACAGAGAGAGAGGGCTGAGCATAATGCAGATGTGGTTACCTGGCCTTTGGTTGACTCTTCTTTGCAGCAGCTTCACTTGCTTTAACTGGGTCTGGGAGTTTAGCGGGGATTGGAGAGTTCTGCGGATCCCAAAAATACCAACGTTTTTATTTTGAGGGCAGAAAACAGAGTCAGAAATAATTTGCAAAAGCATTGCAATGAAACAGGGAGATTGGGGAATCACCAAAGCTATTACACCTCATGCTGGTCACAGGACAAACCACTTAATGTTAGTCATGAGGAGACAGTTGTTTGAGAGAGTCTTTACAAGGAAAAATATGATTCAGCTTTTTCACCATTTGCTACACGTGGAATCTGAACACAAAGCTTCACAGCACAACCTGGCTATTTTTAAAAGATTACCTGGGGACAAGAGCAGCAATGCTTATTAATACTGCTATAAAAAAATACAGGCATAATATAGCACCAAAACCATGTCTTATTCATAAAGACCATAAATAACCACCTGAACACAGGGGGAAAAAAATAGGTTTCTTCTTACCTGGAAACAACAAAATAAAAATGTCACAGATGCCCATAACATCATAAGAAAATACTTGTCAACACTATTATTCAGTTGAAGTCTACAAAGATACACTAAGAAGGGGCAGATGGTTGTTTAAGGTCTGATGTAGTCCAAAGGCAAGTTGGCTAGTCCCAGCCAGCCAGCAGACACAAAACTGCTAGGTTTAAAACCACTGCAGCACAAATTACACACGCTATGATGAATGTGCCTGGAAATCAAATCGGTTTCACAAGCATGGCCTAATTTTCCATGTTCCCATGCACAAGATTTCTTGGTTGGCCTTACACTGGTAAGTGGGTGAGGAGGCAGATCAGGGACAACCAGAAATAAACAACATCTGAAACACAATCCTGATTCCTGCCCTCATCCCCCTGAAAAAAAAAAAAACCCAAACAGTTCTGCTAATTAAAAATAACTAACTAACTAAAAGACCATTCTAATCACAGAACCAGGGAACAACCAACAGAATACTGCAAAATGTTCAACATGCAGCAATTTTCATCCCCAGTCTCTTCCAGCAACACCCTACATCATTCTGCTCTTTTGCTACTCACCTGGACGTTCTGGACTGGGCATTCCTTCTTTGCCAATTTGAACGCAAAGTAGGAGACCTGATAAATATCAGGTCTCTTATCAGGGTCTGGCTCAAGCATATACCCTTTAAAAGACAGAGATGCTGGTATCAGAGCAATAGAACAGATTTGTGTGAGCTATTTGTTGCAGTGTATCAGACTAGATGCAAGAAAGAAATTTTTTACACTGAGGGTGGTGAGACACTGGCCCAGGTTGCCCAGAGAGGTGGTAGAAGCCCCATCCCTGGAAATATTCATGGTCAGGTCAGGACAAGGCTCTGAGCAACCTGATCTGGTTGAACAATGTCCCTGCTCACTGCAGTGGGCTTGGATTAGATGACCTTTAGTGGTCCCTTCCAACCCAAACCAGTCTGCGACTCTGCATATGATATAACCAGATGCTAATGGGGTACCCTGTTTCTTTCAAAGCACCCAGTTGGTGGTCAACATGGCTGAGCTGATCATTAGGGTCAGATGATGCCCTGGTTTGTAGCTGGGACAGAGCTGGG